CCCCTGGGCTAGGTGGGACAACCCGCTGTGCCTCTAAAATAGGTAAATTTAGGTGAACCAGCTACCCTTAGCATGTTGTTTGGCTACAACTGCTATGTCTCTAACTGATCTGGTTAGTGTGTTGTTTGAATGCTACAAACCTGTCTCTAGTGCTGAAGGTCTTGACTAGTACAGGTAGTCGTTGAGCACAGTTGGGACCAGAATTTCTGTTGCTACGCAAAGTGGTTGTTAGGTGACTCCTGATTTTATGACCTTTGTTGCCATACTTAAGAGAAACCCTGCAGTTGTTAAGTGAATTGTGCGATCATTAAGTGAATCCGGCTTCCCCTTTTGCAGGGGTGTCAAACTGCCGGCCCGCGGGCCAGATGCATCATAAAGAAACCGCGCCCACCCAATTGCTGCCAATGGAAAAAAAGTCACAATACGTCGTGACATGTCATGTGACGTTACAAGTTTGACACCCCGGCCCTATTGACTTTGCTTGTCAGAAGCCAGCTGGGAAGGTCACAAATGGTGATCACATGACTTTGGGATGCTGCAACCATTGTAAAAAATGCTGGCTGCCAAGCACCTGAATTTTGATCATGTGACCATAGGGATGCTCTTAACGGTTGTAAGTGTGAGAACTGGTTGTAAGTCAGTTTTTTCAGTGCTTTGAACAGTTGCTAAACAAACGCTTGTAAATTGAAGACTACCCGTGGTCCTTAATGGCCTTATCCTACATACCTTTTATCCAGTTCCCTTTTTCAGAACACCAACTACTTTGTTGCTTGGAAGCCACTTTAGTATAGTATTGTATTTAAAAGTGCCAGACCAGAAGCCAGGAGACTTGAATTCTAGTTCTGCTTTAGGCACAAAGTGACTTGAGATCAATCATCCTCTCTCAATCCTAGCAACAAGGCAGCAACACTGAAATCTTGGCAAGAAAACTGCATGGATTCATCCAGGTAGTTGCCTGTAATGACTGACTCAGAGGGACATAGAAAAAATAGTTATCATTATAGTGCCTATACACAGGGTACAGGACCTTAGGCTGACCTTAGATTAGCTCACAGGGATAACTTTGATGGCGACTGCATGATTGAAGCCAGAGCAATAGCACTTAGACTTACAGTATATACCTCTCCATAGTGCTTTACAGCAATCTCTGAATTCTTTGGTAGACACTGGGCATCTTGCCCCCAACAATCTGGGTCCTCATTTCACTGACCTCGGAAGGATGGAAAGCTGAGTCAACCTTGAGCCGGTCAGGATCGAATCCCTGGTGTGTGGGCAGAGTTAGCCTGCAGTACTGCATTCTAACCACTGCGCCACCATGACTCATATCCCTTTTATATATATCAATAAAAGGGGCAGAACTTCCACTATACAGCTGCAGCCATCATAATTTTTGTCCCCATCCCCAGAGACACTCCTGGGAAGTCACCTGCTGAGCTTTTGTGAGATGACTGAAGTATCCAAGGGCTGTCCCAGAGATATTGGGAATGGCCATCTTGAACACCATCTCAAGTCTGTTTAGCAGCAGGTTCTTAGTTGAGTTTCCTTTTGGGTAAAGTGTAAAAATAAATGGGGGTAGCTCATTTGAAGCTAGAGCCATGGAGGGAGGTAGAGGGAGGGAGTTTAGTGGCACGGGCTTCCTACAATCACAACAGACAAGTAAAGGAAATAGAGAGGCTAAGACGGGAGTTTTCTCCTTGGGGCTTTTGATCACACAGTCGCAGCCACTATTTTGACTTCACTGGGACACCTGTAGCGCCAGACTCCAATGGCCAATTTCATCCTTTAGCTATGTATTGTGTGATAAGAGTGTGGAAGAAAAATGTCTGCTCTCTCCTTCTCCAGTCTGACACAGATTTGATTATCTCTGTAATTTCTCTGCTTCCTGAAGCTTTTGTATCACAGGTTTCTCTAACTCTATAATTTCTCCTAGATAAGGGTTTCTCAACCTGGGCAATTTTAAGACGTCTGGACTTCAAATCCCAGAATTCCCAGCATGGCTGACTGAGGAATTCTGGGATTATGGGTCTTAAAGTTGCCAGGGCTGGGAAACCTTGTCCTAGATCAGGGGTGTCAAACTTGCAACATCACATGACGTGTCGCGATGTATTGTGACTTTTTTGCCATTGCCGGTAATGGGGTGGGCGCGGTTTCGATATGATGCATCTGGCCCACGGGCCGGCAGTTTGACGCCCCTGTCCTAGATCATCTTGATGTCAGGATGAGGCTACAAAGGAAAAATAATTAAGTTAAAAAGGATCATTAATGAACCAGTACAAAGAAAGAAGAAGTCGTAGCACATATAAATACATATGTAATCATATGGAGAAATACAACTACTTTAAATATATATAGTTTCCCTGACCAAAATGACTGTTATTCAAACAAAGGTAATCTACTATGGATAATAAATGATTACCAGATTTGGATGAATTTGTCCTTAGAATATTTCAAAGATCTTTATTTTTCACCTAAAACAATTTTCCATACCTTTATATAATACTCATCTTAAGGAAATGCTACTTTTTCTGATGTTTTACACTATCAAGCTTGGCAGACAATATAGGAACTGAATCATTTCTTATACTGAATTTATATGTGCTAGAAAAAAATAATAATTGAACAGCAGGAATCATTACGAATGATTGGTGATTTTCCCAATTTCTTCAAAAACTTTCAACTACAAGGACTAACTAATTAGACATTGCTACCAAAAATAGTAATATGTGCCAATTTGTTTATAATCCAACCAGTGCAATCTGGAAATATTACAGTTAATGTTGAAAAGCTGTGCAAAGTGTAATACCACCTATAGATTATCTTTTGGTCAATTCTTAATGAATTGCTGAAATAGATTTAAAATAAATTAATGCCCCTAAGTGTTGCAGTGAGTTTCTGGAAGTTCAAAAACCAGCATTTCTCCCAAAATATGTTTACATGTTCAAGAGAACCTGTTGTGTTTAATATAAGTATTTGATATAACATTAATGAGACACAAGTGAAGTAAGTATATACCATGCTTCAGGCTATTCTTGGTTTTAATTGAAGACACCTGGATACTTTACAAAAGATTGATTGGGCTTGATTCATTTGAAACCAGGTTGGTACTTGTGGCAATTTTTTTTTTTGCAAAATATATTTAGAATTTGCTGGGTTTCCATCTATAATTAAATCTCTAATTCTATATAATCCTCCTTATTCCTATTGCTTATGCTGTGCAAATTTATCCTTGTGCTTAAAAAAAGAATATTGGAAAATGGTAGGAAAGGTGTTAGTAGCAGACTAGAGTGGCCCCAGTGCAGATTATTCAGATGCTTAAATGTAAATGCAGATGTCAGAATCCACATGCAAATATAATACAAGAAGTGGGTCAGATAGGAAGCCATCAAGGGCTATCTGCATTTAATGCATAGAGCCACAAATTTGTCAAAGGTACTTCAGTATGATGTGTGAACTCAGAATGTTGCTATAATTGAGCCAAGATGATACGAGCATTGAAAGAAATAGAGAGCTACTGTGGTTACTTGCTACTAAAGCTGGCACTCTGTTTACTCAGACGATGTACCTTTGATTTCAACACTGGCCAATGTAGATGAGCCAAATTGCTTTATCTCTCACCTGCAAGTTTCCTAAAAGCCCTGGTTTGTTGGAGTTTAGCTGCAAGATTAATGGAGCTTGATCTGATCTTGCAAAATAATCCAAAACCGATCATGGAGCGGACAATGCTGTTAATTCTTTGCTACCAATGCATCTTCAAGGACCTTTCTAATCTCTCCAGTGCTGAGGGAGGCCTTTTAGTTTATTTGTACTTATATATCGAACTCTGGACTGCTCCCAATCAACAATTAAAACAATATTGATAATAAAACAACACAATACCTTATTAAATCTATTAAAACCATATTAAAACCCAGATGCGCTGGGCAGGCCACGTTGTAAGGATGCCAGACCACCGCATCCCTAAACAGCTCTTCTATGGTGAGCTGTCTCAAGGAAAGCGATCGCACGGGGGACAAAAGAAGCGATACAAAGACACGCTGAAAGCATCTCTCAAATCCCTGGATATCGACACCATCTCTTGGGAATTTTTGGCGCATGATCGACCGACATGGCGTACCCTGGTTTACCAGGGTTGCCAGACATATGAACACAGAAGGACAATCTTGGGACAAGAGAAGCAAGCACTCCGTAAAGCCAGAGCTGCAAATGCTGAAGCAATAGTGTCCACATTTCTCTGTTCAGTATGTGGTAGAACATTCCGTGCTAACATCGGTCTCATCAGCCATCTACGGACACACCGCTGATGGCCCATAATCCATAAGATGTCAAGGTCTTCATCGAAATCGATGGACGAACAACAAATCTATTAAAACCATAAACATTTTAAAACTGGCACCAAAGTTAAACTTCCATCATACGGTTCCTCATTAAATCCCTCACCCACCTTTTTCTATGCAGCATTTGGGGGGAAACACAATTTTTCAATGCTTTTCGGAAGGCTAGGATGATGGAGACCTCCCAAATGTCAGGGGGAAGAATAATCCACAGGGCAGGAGCTGTCATGAAAAAGGCTCCCACCAGATGGAAATATTTAGGGAAGCATGCCCACCCTGTGTTAGTAGGACAAATAGATGTCCTTAGGGAAAACTACTCAAGAATTAAAATTGCCTGGCCCTGCGCCATATAGGGCTTTAGAGGTAATAGCACTTGAATTGCACCCAGAAAAAAACTGGAAGCCGGTGCAGCTCGCCCGATATAGGTGTTACATGGGTCAACTTGGACATACGTCACTGGGCTGAGGAGGAGTTCCTAAATATTTACAATCAGTTCATTCTTTTGACTGCCAGTCATAACAAATAAGATAAAACTTGCATAGAAGTGGCCAAACACATATAAAATACATTAAAATGTACAAAAAATCAATAAGTACATCAAAACAGTGTTATTACAGCAAATATGTTCTTAAATAAGTAAAATATTTGAATTTCTTTTTTCCCTTCCAGGTTGGCACTGTATGTATACGAATATCTCCTTCATGTTGGGGCTCAGAAATCTGCACAGACCTTCCTCTCAGAGGTAAGAATGGGAACCAAAGTTTGGGGGAGGTGAGCAGAGGGGTGAATATCCATTGACGCACCTCACTTCAGATTTGATCATTGTAGATTGGATACATTTTTTAAAAAAACTGGAGGTTCGACGGAGAGGATTTAATAAATGACAAAATAATACAAAGTTTGGAGGTGCTTCTTTCAAGGCAAAATTTGTCGTTTTTTAAAAAAAAATATTTTTCAACACAGACCAGGGGTCATCATACTCTAATGTGATCTGTAGTAATTAAAGTAAAATTTTAAATTTCCCTTGAGTAGTTTTCTTAGCAGCGTTAATGAAATGATTTGACACTGCCTTCTTTGGGAATGTTGCTTTGGCATTCCAGTTTAGCTCTCAGTGTTATATCTCCTGGTGGTCTCCCATCCATTTCTAAGTAAGTCAAAGCATTAATTGTCAAGGTGTTGAGACAGGTGTGGCCAATTAGTGGGCCATTTTAAACATACGTTTCTGTTTTCTTATTTTCTCCTAGATACGTATTTTTATTCAAGGAATTCCTTTGTGCCTTCAAAGCATCCCTTGGGGATGGGGGAAAGACAAATCTGAATAAAATGTTAAAATCGAAATGTATAATTGAAAGGTACCAGATGACAGAGCTGTGTAAAATGAATTGTTCTTCTGTTTGCTCCATTTTATCTTTCTGATTCAAATCTCTCAGAAGCATAGTTCGCACTATTACTACTGCAAAATCTTAATAACACTGAATTTGCAATCCAAAGACCAATCCCCTTGAGGAAAGAACAAATTCGCAAATAAGTTGGGAGAAAAAAAATATTCCTTGGGAATCTTAATGCAGTTATAGCTTAATAATGTCGTTAGTGATTCAAATGAAAGAATTCTCCAAGGGCAGAAGTCTGATCTGGTACCTCCACACCCACACTCTCACGAACCAGATGCCAGAGTTTATCATTTCAAAGAACAGAATAGCTTTGTTGGATCAAGCCAATGTCCGTTTTAGTCCTGCAGTGTGTTTCCCATAAGAGGCCAACTTGATGCATCTTCAGTGCTCCTACGCAGAAGATGGAGACATATTTCTTGTACTGTAGGGGCTTTTTTTGCAGGAGTTTAGAGACATGCTTGCCTCCAGCTTGGAGGGAACATTGAGTGATTAAGACCAATAGCTCTTGAAGGGTCTGTCCTCCCTTAGTTTATTCAGCCCAAGTTGATCTTCAGTCTTCTAGGTTACTGTCCATCACTCCGTCTTAGAATACAGATAGTTCTCGGATTACAACCATTTGTTTGAGGACCATTCAAAGTCACGGTGGCACTAAAAAAAAGTGATTTATGACCGCTCCTCACACTTACGACCGTCGCATCATTCCCACAATTGCATAATCAAAATTTGTGGGCTTGGCAACCGGCATGTATTTTCAACGGTTGCAGCCTCCCAGGGTTATGTGATCACTGTTGGAACCTTCCCAGCCAGCTTCCCACAAGCAGACTCAGTAGGGGAAGCTGGATTCACTTAACAACTGCATAATTTATCTAACTGCAATGATTCACTTAGCAACTGGGCAAAAAAAAAGTCGTGCAATTGAGTGCGATTCACTTAATCATCGCCTTGCTTAGCTACAGAAATTCTGGTCCCAATTGTGGTTGTAAGTTGAGGACGACCTGTAATAAATTTCATTCCTTCCTACTGCCAGGTAGGTCACAGTGTCCTGGATTAGTTGGATGGAAGACTGCAGGAAATTCCATTGCTGAAAACTACGTCTCTATGTTTTTTTTTAAAGCCAGAAGATGGCAATCAAGGGCAAATTACTTCCATGTTGATGCCAAAATGTCACATGAATATGTGTATGAGGCTGGTAGGAGTTGGGCTGTACTCGAAAGAGGCTTACTTAATTTTTTTTGCTACTATTCTAAACCTTGTTGGGACTTCCCAAGAAGCCATCATCTTGAAGTCTTAGCCCTGCTTCTGCAATTAATGCTTTTCAATGGGGCCAAAAGTGTTTTCCTGCTGATTTTCATTTATACTTGGTGTCCGATATATCTCGCTGCAGTGCCCAACAGTAGTCAGCCAGAATTGATGGATTCTAGTTCCCTTGATACTGTTTTTCCATTGTGGCAATGTCCTGGTGAAACGTTTCACCTTTGTTCATCATTGATTGAACTAGACTTTTGGGAAGAAATTTCAAGTGTGAATGTAGGAAAGGAATACAGTGTACTGCATACTGTAAGAAGCTTGTCACCAGCTGAACGTATCCCAAAGAAACTTTTTCACGAGGCAACTGGACTTTCTTGTTTTTCTTTGAAGATGTTTTGCTTCTCATCCAAGAAGCTTCTTCAGCTCTGACTGGATGGTGCGGAATGGAAAGATTTATACTCCTTGCAGACAGCTGGTCATTTGCATTCTTTTAGAGAGTCATAGAGTGGCTTATCTGCGTCTTCAGGGTCACCTGAGTAATGCAAATGGGTGTGGAGCCTTCTTGGAACTGTTGAAAGGACTGTGTTGTAGGCTGGAGATAGATGATGTCGGATCCCTCCCCCTCTGTTAAGAGAGGGCTGTTCAATTTTGTCCTAGATACAGATTCAGCAATCCATCTGCATTTAAAAGACAAAGGACACTCTTTTGAAGACAGCAAAGTCCACTTTTTGAAGAGAGGACCACTAGTTTGAAAGAGGGGTCAAAGAGACCATCTGTGTCAAAACTGAACAGCCCTCTTTCAACAGAAGAAGAAAGTCCAGTTGCCTCATGAAAAAGCATCTTTGGGATAATTATCGCCTGGATGACTGAGAATCTCCATAGACGTTCAGCTGAATGTAGTTTGGTATTTTGTTGCCAAGAAAATTCTCAACTACATCCTTAAATGCTTTCCAGGTGATTTTCTCTGGTCCCACTGACTAACATATCATTGAACTGCTTGTCATTGATGATGTATCTCATCTGTGGTCCAACAAAAATGCCTTCCTAAATCTTGGCATGTTATTCTTGGAAACATCGGTCTCAAATAACAGAAACCTTCACCTTCCTTGTTTATGGCTTTCACAAAATTTTTCGTCAGTCTGAACTTTATTGAAGAGGGGGCAAAAATATCTTTGTCAAGTCAATAAGTGGCAAGATGTTCCAGGGGGCAGATGCAACAGCAGAGATGACCCTTCTCCTGGACCCTGCCAGCCAGAGCAATCAGGCTGACAGGGCCTGTGGAATGCCTCCTCTGCTGGTACAGATGGGACGGGCCAATCCCAATGGGATGAGATGATCCATCAAATAGCCTGGGGGCTTGTCCAGGTATTTGGTATATCTGAGCTATATTCCAAGCAGCAGAACCACTACTTTTAGATCTCCACAGATATTCCAATTGCACTTGGTGTACTGGATGTGCTTCAACAGCAGTTCCATATTTTCATACGTTTCTTTCATGTGTGCAGCATAGTCAACTGGTACTAAAGGGTGTACAAGGCCATTGTGTAAAAAGAGAAAATTTACATAAAATGCTACCTTGATCATTGAAATTACAGATTATTTTTGTGATTAGCCACCTAAAATCTATAAGATAGACCCAACAGTGTTCAGGAAGCAAAATGTTTGTGGTCCAGTGGAGCTCTGGGTGTTGTAGTTCTGCCACTTTTGGAAGTGCTAAATTGGGGAAAGCTGGTCTTACCTATTTAATTGGTACTTTATTGCTTCTCCCCAGATCCGGTGGGAAAAGAACATTACCCTGGGAGAACCACCTGGCTTCCTTCACTCCTGGTGGTGGTAAGTAGCATCCACAGTGTTCTCAATGGGATGGTGGGTGGAATGCGTTGTCTAGATCAATGTTTTAGTACCTTGTAACTTCAGGATGTGTAGACATCAACTCCCTAGCCAGTAGGGAGAATAACCAGTAACAAATTTTATCAGCTGGCTAAGGAATTCCGAGACACAAAGTCCACACATCTTAGAGTTGCCAAAGTTAAGAAAGGTTAGTCTAGAAGATGGATATTCCTTTGATTATTCAGTGTCAGTCTTTCCAAATATGATACTCTATGGGTGTCTGGACATCACCTACCACAATCCCTAGCCAAAACTGTTTGGAGAGCACAGATTTGGGAAAGCAGGTCTGTGAACATAGGGAGCTATTTCCTATCAGTTTAGCTTATCAAATTTATTACTGGCTATTCTGAATGATGGCGATTTTCCAGGATCTTGGACCAGAGAGGATTTTTCCATTACACACTGGTTGAGATCTTTTTAAGGGGATATGCTGTCAGATATTGAGCTCTGAAACTTTTTCAGATGAAGAATCAGTGTACTGAACAAGTTTACTTTCCTCTTTGATAACACCATTGATATTTGAGAACAAGGTTTCCAGTTGAAGGTACAGCCATGAATGAATCAAGGCCAACAGACATTCATCATATCCTGCTTGTCAGAATGTGCTGTTGGTCCTCACTTACCGGTAATAACCTCAGTTGGGATCGGTAACTCCACTGCTAAATGTCACAGTTGTTAAGTGAACTATCACGTGACTGAGTCAGACTTACAGCATTATTTCGGTTGCAACCATTAAGCAAATAAATGGTGAGTCATTAAGAACAATATCATGTGACCAGCTTCCCCATTGATTTTTGTGTGTTGGAAGCCAGCAGTGAAGCTCACAATTGGCAATCATGTGATTGTGGGATACTACAGCTGACGTAAAATGCACACTGTTGTGAAGCTCCCAGGTGATGACCATGCGACTGTGGGGACATTGTGACAACTGTAATTGTGAGGACTGGGCGCAAACTCACTTTTTCATCACTGTCATAATGTTGAACAGTTGCTAAACAAGGCAATTGGTAAGAGAGGACTACCTATATTCTCAGCTGGGCTCAAGAGCCGATTTGGTATACTGTTAAGGTGTTAGACTACAAACCAGGACACTGAATTCTAGTTCTTGCTTAGGCAGGAAAGCCAGCTGGATGACTTTGGGCCAATTGTTCCCTCTCAGCCTCACAGTTGGTTGTTGTGGGGAAGACAGGAGGTAGAAGTATTAAGTATGATGTTGCCATGAGCTGACCAAATTAAAAATAAATAATAATAAAGAGGAAAGCAAAGGGAGGGAAGGAAGGAAGGATGGATCAGCATACTGAGAGTATCTGCAATTCTTCAAAAAGCAAAAATGGAGCAGGTTTTAATTTACTAGTCTTTAATGCAGTTTGAAACAGAGCATGTGGAAAAACTTGAGAAGTTGTGACGATGGCAGAAGAGATGGCATCAAGGTGCCAAATTTCATATAACATAGGTAGCCACTGGAATCTCTCTGTACATAATAGATAGATATACACATTCAGGCCTACCACACCCATCCTTATTTCTCCTGCCTTCTGCAGGAGTTTGCTGGCAGGAAAAATAGGGTGGAGACAGTTCCCGGAAGGTAGGGAATTTTGGATACCCTTGGAAGAAGCATTGACTGGGGAAGGGTGTGCGTGTGCATGTCTGTTTGTCTGTCTTGTCTGTGTATCTTCTGGGTTTTTGCTCTTTCAGTCCCAACCTTAAAAGTCACCCCCTCCTCCCAATTCTTGTTGTTGGCTTCAGGCACAACTGGAACACATTCAAGAGCTTTCCCCCCTCAATGCACACTCCTTCCCGGAAACCCCCCTGTCCGTTGCGGCGTCTGGCTCCAGCTTCTACACATGGATGTGATTTGGTGGAATCCAGAGGCAGAATATTCCAGGGACCTAACTGGGGGTTGCGGCAATGGAGATCTGGCTTGATAAGTGTCCCCCCCCCCCTCAACCCTTGGCTCTTATCACAGGGAAAAGGCCTGGAAAGGGGGAGGAGGAGCAATGGAAAGAGAGTCTGGAGGGCATGATGGATGAAGTGCTGCACATCCCCCTCTCCCCACTATGCTGACTCCCCCTGCCCCAGTCTCAAAACTTGGCTGGCTCTTCGGTTTTAGACTGATGGGCCTGTTCGGAGCATCTGCCTTCTTCCAACTGCCTTCCCTCCCTCCCTCCCTCCCTTCCACCACATCTCTTTCTTTTTTCAAGGGGCTGATTTTGTTTTATTATGTACGTGATTGTGCTGCAGCTACATTTTCTACACTTTTTCTCTCATTGCATCTTTCCCGTTTTAAAAAGTATACTCACAAATTCCTTTTCTTTTGTTTTCCCTCTTCTCTCCTTCCTCATGCCCTTTCTTTTTACATAGTTGCTTTCTTTCCTTAGCCTTTCTCTCTGAATCTTTCTTTTTGGTGACACATTTCTCTATTGCCCTTCATGGGAATCAGATTTGGGGATCAGGGGACAATAAAGCAATAAGATTTGGCAACATCATGGTATATAATAAGAGACAGTTCATTAAAAGCGTCAAAAGTGCTCAGACATACTGTTGAAATTACTAGATTTTCTTTTATCTGCCTGATGTCGTAGGCATTGTAAGGTATTTATCTTCCTCCTGACATCTAATTAATTGTTTGTGGCAAAGTATATAAAGTATTTGGTTTGAAGGATTAAGCATTGTAAACTCAATTACCTACACACAAAGACACAAGCGTGTACACACAGAGATATATACAGTATGTCTGTGTATATAATATAGCTAACAAAATATAGTTTTATTATATGCTGAGTCTTGATTGGCAGTTCCTCAATTATTGATTCTCTGTCCAAGAATATCTACAGTATATTCCTTCCCTCCCTCCCTCTCTCCAGGTCTGTAAAGCAAAGGAAAACTGAAGTAAGATCGTAAGCACTGTCATGGTTTCATTTAGCAACCACTTTGCTTAACAGCTGAGTTCCTGGTTCCAATTGTGGTCGCTAAACAAGAATTACCTGTATTTTCTCATATCATTTAGGAAGGATGAGATCCCATCTATCGATCACTCTCGATAGATGAGATCTATCAAGAGTGAAATGCTTCTTTTGGTAGTGTATTCAGAGCACTTAATGCATAGACAGCAAAGTGGCATCAGATACTGTTTATATTCAGACACATTTTGTATTATGCCTTGTGGAGTAACACCAGGATATTTGGGCAACAACTTATTAGAACTGAAACTGCCTGTCCAGTGTGGTCCTCCAGAGAAGACCTATTGCAGGACTGCTTTCCTTAGAAAGTATGGGCCTAAGGAACCAGACAGGCTTAAGATACAGAAGGATCTGGACAGACTTGAACACTGGGTGCTATCTAACAAAATGAAATTCAATGGTGAAAAAAGTAAGGTTCTACATTTAGGCAAGAAAAACCAAATGCACAGGTATAGTATAGGGGGTACCTGGCTCAGCAGTAGTAACTGTGAGAGGGATTTCGGAGTCCTAGTGGACAATCACCTAAATATGAGCCAGCAGTGTGCTGCAGCTGCCAAAAAGGCCAACACAGTGCTAGGCTGCATTAACAGAGGGATAGAATCAAGATCACGTGAAGTATTAATACCAATTTATAATGCCTTGGTAAGGCCACACTTGGAATACTGCATCCAGTTTTGGTCACTACGATGTATAAAAGATGTTGAGACTCTAGAAAAAGTACAGAGAAGAGCAACAAAGATGATTAGGGGACTGGAGGCTAAAACATATAAGGAACGGCTGCTGGAATTGGGTATGTCTAGTTTAATGAAGAGAAGGACGAGGGGGGACATGATAGCCGTGTTCCAATATCTCAGGGGCTGCCACAAAGAAGAGGGAGTCAAGCTATTCTCCAAAGCGCCTGAAGGCAGGACAAGAAGCAACGGGTGGAAACTAATCAAGGAGAGAAGCAACCTAGAACTAAGGAGAAACTTCCTGACAGAACAATTAACCAGTGGAACAACCTGCCTCCAGAAGCAGTGAATGCTCCAACACTGGAAGTTTTTAAATGGTATAGGGTTTCCTGCCTGAGCAGGGGTTGGACTAGATGACCTCCAAGGTCCCTTCCAACTTTACTATTATTATTATTGTTGTTGTTGTTATTATTATTAACCAGATGACAAGCCTTCTTGGTTGTGGCCCCCACATTATGAAATACTCTCTCTCTCAGAGGCGCAGTGTTTCTGAACTTGCTGGCATTTTGTAAACAACTCAAAAGTAATTTCGTTTCAGTACACGTTCCGCATTTAGAATAGATTAGGTCAGATTAAATTAAAGATTTACTGATGTTTTGGATTATATTTTTTAAATTATTTATATTAAATTTGCATTTTTGCTTTGTCTTTATTGTATCCTGCCCAGAGAATCAGGACTGGTCCAAGTGATAAATATTGTTAAATGAGTAACAATTTCTTTTCTCTCTCTTTTTTTTTCTCAAAAGAATACGGGAATAAAGGCAGGCACAGAAATCCCTTTCTCCTGCTTGCAATTTGATCAGTCTTCATTGGCAGCATTAGCCTTCTGGATGATAAATCCAAAATTCCTCTTCTCCCATTGCCCCCGAGTCATTTTTAAGTGAGGGCTGAGCTTTTCAGAATATCCTGTCATTTAGGTTATTGTGATCCTTATTACTGTTATAAGAAATGGAAAGAAAGAGGTCTCTCCCTTCTAGCATTCTCATTTGGTACATGAAATTACAAGTTACTGCATACACTAGTTTGTCATTTTGGTCATGAACAAATTTATTTCAAGGCAGGTACGTATTTGTTTCAGCAGAATCCCAGCAAAAAGGTATCTGATAGCCTAGGAAATAAGCTTTGCAAAATTCAGTGAAGCTCAGCTCAGAGTAACATGCAAAATACTGCAGTAATCTTGGGGTCGTTTACCAGGACGTAAGGATGGGGCTTCCCAGGCATAGTATGTGCCAATTCCCCCTAACCTATTTGGATAATAGAGCTATTTTGTCAAATTGGAAGAGGGACTGATTTTGTTTGCAACTGAGAAGTAGAATGTTAATACCGGTAGTTGTCTAGCTGCATCATTTTGATCCTGGGCATCAGTCCCTGTTCACCTTCCTTTTTGAGAAATAGTTCAGAATAGTTCCAAGTCACCTTTAGGAGCGATGGATGGGCAGCGTATAAATTTAATAAATAATAAATTAAAAAAATAAAGCTCCGTGGGCAGTAGCTCCCAAATGACCTGCCCATGGTGACGGAATGGCTTGCTCATTCCTTAAACACCTTAAAGCTAAGTGCAGGTTATCAAAGCACGTTTTGTGTAACGCGCAATTCTCAAAACAGTCATCAAAATGATGACTCAACATGATGGCATGGATCATACAACATACTAAGACCGTTGCTGAGTTTTGTCACAGCAGGGTGCAATTACAATTGGCCCAGCCCCATTTTACCGTCATTTGGTGTAGTTTATGAACCAGCAACAGCAGGTCTTCCTGGGCCTTCTCAATTTACAGCAAGAATCATGGCCAAAGTGAAGTCCGAGCGTATAAATCTACCAATACATATGCTTGATGGCAGGATAGAAATTCCAGGTCCGTGGCTAATTCTCCTTGTCCCGCTAAACATTCTTGGCAACTGTGAACTCTTGGCAGACACAGTGGGGATAGTTATGCTCCCTTCTGCCTCTCTCTCCCCCCCCCACCTCCGCCAAGACTTTGCAAAAAGACCACAAGGGGAGAGGCCCCACGCAGCAGCGGAGATCACGTGACTCCTCTCCCTTGGGGCCAGGGGACTGCTTCCCAGAAATCCAACAAGTAGCCTGATTTATTGGAGGCTGAAACAAGCAAGGAGAGGATCCAGGCTGCTAGGCTTAACCCTTCAGAAGCTAGATGGAGGCATGTTAAGCGGGCGTTTAGCCACTGGAGGGCTTGGGCATCTGCACAGCTACAAAAAGACAGATTGTCATCCAAAGACAGATCCTTGCTTTGTTAGCATTAGGGTAAGGAGCCTGTGGTGCCCTCATCTAACTCATGACCTTGCCCAGAAAGTTTGATGCCCAATTGTTTGGTTGATGTTAGTGTCCTTTGTAAACCTGTCTGACCTGTTGGATTGCAAGGTGAAGTTGGGAGAAATAGATGAGAGTATCGTCAAAGGGAGGGAGGAAATTTCATTTCATCCTGAAATTACATTTCATTCTCTTTAACACTAGCTGATTGCCCAGCTTCTGCAACTGGTAGCTAAGGAGTAGCTGCCAGTGTCTTCTGGCAGTTTCTGCACAAGGATACTTTTCCTGGCATTCTGATGTGAGATGGAGTGCCATTTTTTTCTGGCCCGAAGGCTGTATGTCCCCTTTGGGTAGCACAAGGCAGTCCTTTGCTCTGAAAAAAACAAAAACTAAATCAGCTTTCACTTCATTTAAAATTAAATGTTATAATACTTTCTGGCCATATATTTAACCATCCTGTCCTCTTGTGGCATTAAAAATTACCATTTGATAATTATTTCTGGAGTTGCTGAGGATCATAACTAACTTTCTTTCTTTCTTTCTTTCTTTCTTTCTTTCTTTCTTTCTTTCTTTCTTTCTTTCTTTCTTTCTTTCTTTCTTTCTCAATGAATGAATAATAATCCATCTCCCTCATAGAGTGCTTTCAATGCCACCATACCTCCAACGACTCACTTCTGGTTCAGATTCTGCTAGAATCACTAGTTGGGTTTTCTGTTGTTGTTTTTTAAAAAAACCCTCAAAACTACTATCCATCCTGGGTGCAAACATCAGTTCATGAGTGGCCCATCAGAAAGCACTATGTTAGCTGGACCGGGGTCATCTGTAGGGTTGTCAAAAAAGTCAAGATGGTGGCTCTGCTCTCATATAATCGAGGCCTTGTTCCTTTTTTTAGGTACAGGACAATTGATATATTGCCTTTTTTTGTCCTGCTGTGAGGATGTCCCTGACCTATAATTAACCACAATTCTCAGTCTAGCTGGCTACATTCTTAAAAAAAATCTTAAGAAGATCAGTTAAAGCATTTAGCATTCAAATCCCATGTTGAGCTGGGTTAGGTTTAACATTTGGGGTAACAGAGCACATTGTGAGTCAGTCCATTTGCTCAGGTTGGTTCAGTATTTTGTCTGAATCCAGAAAACAGATTATATAGGAAGTGGTATAAACATATATTGAGGATATTGTCGTTGTGGGGAGAGAACCGTTAGTCTGGGGTAGCCGAAAATTAGAAGATTGGTAGCACCTTTTTAGACTAACAGATCTTGTTTTAACAAAATACATTGGTCTGGAAAGTTGCTATCGGACTCCTTCAGATTTTAGGAAGTTGTGTAAACTTGTTATTTGCAAAAATGAGCCTGGAGAAAGATAATCTATGTTGACTTACATTGTTGCCTGTATGTTGCCTGTAATTACAAACATTTGCTTCTGTGCCTTGGTTAGCTGATAATCTTGGTTGGGTTCCATTACTTATGTGGAGGATCCACATCAAGCCCTTGGCATTTTAGTTAAAGCTGCTAGGAGAAGCTGCTTTTTCTGGAACCTGCATTAACTTTCTTGGTCAGAGCTGGGTAAATCAGTGGTCTAACTGTGAAAGCAAATGATCTACATGCCAACAGTCCAGATTTCTTCTAGAATTTCCCAGTTAAGTTATGGATGTCTAACACATGGTTTTCTAGAACTTCTACTTTCACCAGCTCTGCCATAGCCAGGGAACCTGAAAGATATATGGCAACATCTGGAGGGCCACTAAATAAATTTGGATGCAAAGAAATCATGGAGAGCTTTAAGTTCCTTTTAAGGAACTTTTAAGCATCTTCTTTCTAAAGGTCCCAGATCCATATTAATGATGTCTCTCTTTCTCCTTGTTCCCTTGCTATCCCATAGTGTGTTTTGGGACCTGTACTGTGCAGCACCTGATCGACGGGAGACCTGTGAGCACTCAAGTGAGGCCAAAGCTTTCCACGATTATGTGAGTACAGTGTGTGAGGTTGATGCCGATCATTTGTATGGTCGTTCAGATGCTGTGTGATTTGGACTTTGGAGGGCCTCCTGGAGGAGACCAAAGTGAATGTAGTGAAAGAGAGGTGTGAAAGCAATTTGAAGAGAGGTGAAAGCAATTCACTTGTGATATTCAAGGTGACTGTCTGAAACAATCCATAAATGAATTCTGTTTCAGCCATATTTAGAACTCAAAGGGCTTTGCTCCAACCTGATTGTTGTGATACCAAACTGCAGACATCCTATCAATTCCAACATGGATAATGTAGGAGAAAGCAGTACCATCAAACACCACTCAATCCTTGATGACCACTAAACATTTCAAGATGATTTACGTGCATATTTTTTTGTTCTACAGCCCAATAACCATTCACCTGGAGTAAATAATAGTGAATTACACCTGATGGTAGAAATGCCCATCATGATGGTGACTGATCAGGACAGGGCAATGAATGAGAGCTATCCAAATGTTTCTGTATTATTTAAACAAAATCTGCCCTGGTTCTAGAAGAAGTAGCAGTTCAGTAGCAGTCCAGCACTTTTTTTCATGGCATCTGATTAGATGTCAGTATTTCACAAGCAATAAATGAAAACCCCCAGATGCTTTTATTTAATCACAAGCAATTTGTATTTAGAGAACTAGAGTGCCTCTGAGCATACAGAATCTATAATTGTGTAAACAGCAGCCAATAGATCTCTGCTTCCCTTGTATGGAGGTATCACATGCGTAGAAAATGCATGGCACCTGTTCTCAAATCTACCTGTAAATCTTTTCTAGTGATTCCTGGATTAATCACCCCATAGTTTTTCGGCCACTTGTACCAGTTCTAAGCAAAAACCAATTTTTGAAAGTCTTTAAGTCAGGATTTCCCAACCTTGGCACCTCTAAGACATGTGGACTTTAATTCTCAGAATTCCCAACTCAAATATGATTGCCTGGGGAATTCTGAGAGTTGAAGTCCATGTATCTTAAAGTTACCAAGGTTGAGAAACCGTCCTTTAAATTAAAAAAGTAATTCTATTTTGGCAGGTTGATAAGCAGTTATTCAATGTAGTCAATATTAGAATTAGTAAAACATTCATATTCAGAGGTAGTCTACAGTGTGTGTGTGTGTGTGTGTGTGTGTGTGTGTGTGTGTGTGTGTGTGCGTGCATGCACGCTCGAGCACACATGTCCTCAAGTCAGTCTTGACTTCTGGCAACTGCTTGGACAAATCTTTGCAGCTTTCTCGGCAAGATTTCAGAAATGATTTGCCATTGCTTTCCTCCTAGGACTGAGAGAGTCTACATCTAAATACCAGCTATTAAGAAATAACTAATAGAGGTAGGCTGTCCCATTGTGCCCTGTTCATGGGCCAGCTGGTATATGAATGGCTGTTATTCATTATATCAAATTGAACCTCCATGTTTCTAAATAGTATATAGTTAAATACAACACGTCAGTGAGATTTTTGAATGTTTCTGCCTCCTTTTTGGAAACCTTTTAAATCATGGGTGTCCAACCTTTTGTCTTGTCTGGGCCACACTGAGTGAAAAGGAGGTCTTGGGCCGGATGTGGCCCATAGGCTGTGGGTTGGCCGTACCTATTTTAAATTGTAGTCTAAAGGTACTTCGATTTTTACAAATAAGATTTAAGTCAAGAGAAGGACTGACTGCTGTAGTGCCAGTATAAGAGGATCGTTTCCTCTCTTATCGAGAGTGAAATGCAGTTATTTCATTGTCAATGTTCAGCTCTTCTACAATACTCTGTATCTGAGGAAGAAAAAGAACAGAACAGCCTCTAATAATTAGAAGCTAAGCTAAGCAGGCATTATTAAATACAATATTAAACACAGGTTTAGCCCCCAAGACCTAGAAGATAAACAGACACTAGTAAAACCAAAGAATTGAACAAGGTCCAATTATTTATTTATTTTAATCCATAATTGGATTAATTAAGGTATAACATTTTGATTCAGTTAAGAGGAAATGAGAAACGAAAACGCTTTGTTTAAATGAAAATGCACCAAAATATGCTTGCATTCAAATTCGGTCTAATCGTCTTTAAAATTGAAAGGGGTGGGTGGGAGAGAGAGAGAATGAGAGAGAGAGAGAGAGAGAGAGAGAGAGAGAGAGAGAGGAAGGTGGGGTGGAAGAGAAATTACGTTTTAATTTTCTAGACTCAAACCCTTCTTCTATTATTCCTTCTCCTCTCTCTGTCTGTGCCCCCCTCCCATCGCTCCCCTGGAGAATATGGTTTGGATCCTTTGTGAGCAAGAAATTGCCTAAGAGGAGTCATGCGGCGTTTGCTTCTGCTGTTTTCCTTGCTAGGTGGCCACGCGGTGCTGTACCACACATCCAGCACTCCTCCCTGCTTGTTTCCATGGGAACCGCATTCTTTTTGGACCATCTTTCTTCTGAGGCCAGCAGCCCTTGGCCTTGCCCACCTCTCCCTCTGCCCACAGGCCAGCAGGGGTTAACTGTCCTAGATGTTGCCCACAAACTGGCCGTGTGCCACTTATATCAATATTTCAGGGAGCGCTGCAGGAGCTCTCTGCATAGCAAATGACTAATGTTCAGTGATGGAAATCCCCCCCCCATCCTCAACAACCTGCGTGGCCATAGAGTACAATGAGTGGCTGATTTCCCCGGCTCATCCTTCCAGTCTGGCCATATCCAGGTAGTTCTTAACTTACAATTCGTTTAGTGACCGTTCAAACTTACAATGGCATTGAAAAAAGTGACTTGTGACCGCTTTTCACACTTACGACCATTGCAGCATCCTATGGTCATGTGATCAAAATTCAGATGCTTGGCAACTGACTCATATTTATGATGGTTGCAGTGTCCCAGGATCATGTAATCACCATTTGCAACCTTCTGACAGATAAAGTCAAAGGGGAAGACAGATTCACTTAATAACTTTGTTACTAACTTAACAACTGCAGTGATTCACTTAACAATTGTTAACAATTGCAAGAAAGGTTGTAAAATGGGGCAAAACTCATTTAACAACTATATCGCTGAGTAGCAGAAATTTTGGGCTCAATTGTGGTCATAAGTCAAGGACTCCAACACTGGAAGTTTTTAAGAAGAGACTGGACAGCCATTTGTCTGAAATGGTGTAGGATTCCTGCCTGAGCAGGGGGTTGGACTCGATGACCTCCAAGGTCCCTTCCAACTTTATTATTATTATTATAATCTGGAGAAAGGTAGCTGTTTACAATAAGTATGACATAAAGGATAAGATGCTGGATGACAAATATAAAAAGCCAGGTTTTAAATCTGTCCTCTGCCCTGGAAGTTCATTGGGAGGCTTTGAATAGGCACACTCTACATTGTTTTGTGGGGATAACGGGGAAGGCAGATCCGTAAGTGTCTTGCCTTCAGCTCTGGACAAAGTGGGATATAAATCTAATCAATGATTGTTCTTGCTGATAGCCAAGCCAAATCTCATCTCCTTCCTGCACAATCAATATGAGGTTTAAGTGGTTCCAAAAATTCCTTGGAATGTGAAATAATCCTCAGTTTTTATATTCTTAGAGATTGATTTTGAAAGGATCACGAAAGCCTTTTTATGAAATCTTACAAGATTTGGAGCAAGAATGCTTGACAGCCTCACAATTTATGTTGTAAGCACACATGCTTAAAACACATTCAAGCACATAGAGTGTCACCTAAATACCAGACAAGGTTCTCCGTTTCTGAATGAGAATGAGAGAGAGAATGAGAAAGAGAATGAGAAAGAGGGAGGGAGGGAGAGAGAGAGGGCGATATATATGTATGTGTGTGTGTGTGTGTGTATGTATGTATGTATGTATGTATGTATGTATGTATGTGTGTGTGTGTGTGTGTATTTTGTCTGCTAGGCTTCCAGATTCATTATTTATCTGATTACTGCCCACATGAATGTCTGTGGAGGAGAGGAGTAAAAAAAGTCAAGATGGCACCCAAAACCATGGGATCAAAGCCCTGCTTTTTATATATGCAGGTAAAAAAACGGGTGGGGTTTTGTTTGCACAGTTGTGGCTGCCATCTTGACTTTTTGACACCTTTTTTCCAGTGGATATGCTGACTGACAGCTTATCCTTTCAGAAATGGATCTGGAGGCTCTTTTTGATGGGGACAAATGTGCGATGCGATATTTTTCTACTCTTGTCTGCTTTAATTTTAATTTATTGCCTGATTCCTTGCCTTTGGGGGAAATGGGTGTTTTCTGACTAAGTTTATCCCCAGAGAATGCATTTTGGGGACTTAGTAATATCATCTTTCAAGGCAGCCATTTTGTGAGACTGCCTACGAGGCCTTTCCAGGCTCGGAAAGATGACAGACTCCTAAAATTCTGGGAGGTCATTCTGTCCATGAAGGGGAGATTATAAAAGGATTAAACCTTTGGGAGGGGAAGAACTCTAAGTAAATGACACAGAGCTCTGTGTACAAAATTCCTCCAGAGAGAATTGTTCTCTATTTGCCTGCCTTCTCCAGTTTGGCCTATTTGGGGCTTTTCCAGCTAACAAGGCCATGTTGGCTGGCATCGAGTGGAGGAGGGAGTTTGTAGTCCCAACGTGTCTGAAGGGCACCAGGTTGCAGACATCAGTTGTCTGTTGCCTAAATCCATGTTCCCTGCCAAAGATTGTGCATGTCCTTTCCTCTTTTTTTTTCTCATATAAGGGATAGGTTGTACAGCTGTGGGGCAGGGAAGGCAGCCAAGCGCTATTTTGAACTCTGACTTGGTTTTTCCTTGTTCTCTAAGCCAATCCCAACCTCCCCAGCTTGGAGGAAGCACTAAATTATTTGGAAATGGCAGCGGGGAGCAAAAATCCCGGGGCCGTCTTCTTTGCCTGCCTTTCGAAGCAACAGCAGCAGTGTTGAATATTGTGTTCTAGCTGGCCTCCTGTGGAGGTGGGGGGGCCTGCAGTCCTTCACCACCCCCCTCTAAATTAAAACCACTTGGAGTGGAGACAATGCGTGAGGGGCCAGGCTGGAAAAAAGGCAGAAAATTCCTGCCGTCTTAACAGCTCCCCCTGGAGCCAACTTGGCTCCCAATGAATGCCTGCCTTGAATCAGAAAATGCAGCTCAGTCGTTCGCTCATTCCGCAGCGCACAAATCTCACAAATATCAGTTCTGGTTGCTGTGGCTCAGAAAGTCCTGCAAAACAACTTCAAGCCCCACTATTTGCAGATCTTTGCTGCTCAAGACTCTCAGCCCTGTTTGAATGGCTGGTGTGCTGGCCCACAATGGCCTGGGCAGGTAAAACATGGAGTCCATCAATCTGACCTCTTCCCCTCTCTCCACAGAGCTCCGCAACTACAACCAGTCCTGTGATGGCCAACCTGCCACCCAGTGATGCCATCCCCAGCGGGCCTATGTTGTCGGGCTTTTTCCAGGTGGGAATAGGCTGAGGTTGGGAAAGGGGCACTGCTGAACCCTAAGCATCCTGCAGAACTTGCCTTCATCTTGGTAAAGCCTCCATGTTCGAAGGCAGTCTATCCTTGAAGCTGTCAGAAACCTGGCAGGGAATGCCTGCCTTACAAATAGTTCTTGACTTACAGCTATTCATTTTGCGACCGTTCAGAGATAGAACGGCACTGAAAAAAGTGACTTACAACCACTCCTTGCACTTACGACTGTCCCAGCATTTCCCCATGATCATGTGATCAGAATTTGGACACTTGACAACTGGCATGTATTTCCAACATTTAAAGCATCCCAGGGTCATGTGATCTCCGTTTGCTTCTGACAATTGGAAAATCTGGTCCCAATTGTGATTGTAAGTCAAGGACTACCTATACCAGGGGTCTTCAACCTTGGCCCTTTTATGACTTGGCATGCTGGCTGAGGAATTCTGGGAGTTGAAGTTCACAAGTCATAAAAGGACCAAGTTTGAAGATCCCTGACCTATACTAAAAATGATGTATTGCATGAAACGAACTCTGTGTAATTAGCAGGGCCTTTTTGTGCATCTAAATAGAGGCAGTTATAAGTATCAATGGAAGAGAATATTTGTGGCTTGGGTTTGAACTGTGGCAACCCTGCAGTTATAAGACTAGGAGCCCTACTAGATGTCAGTTGAGGGACAGAGGAGGAGGACCTGTGTTTGAATTACAAGTTCCTCTTGCAACTTTAACTGAAGCTCATTTACTACTGGATCCCCATACCATCGGGACTGTGTTTCTCAACCTTGTGGATTTTAAGATATCTGGACTTCAACTCAGAATTCCCAAGCCAGCATGCTAGCTGGGGAATTCTGTGAGTTGAAGTCCACACATCTTAACGAAGTTGAGGTTGAGAAAAACTGCATTAGGGAGTATTAATGCCTAATATTTTCCCCTTTCTTGTGGCCCCAGACTTCAGCATGCATCCCTTTTGCTTAGATTCATGCAAAAATTACTGTGGAACAGGGGAAGTCTTGAACAATAAACCACGGCCATATCGCCATAATTGCATTTCTGCTTCTTCCCTAAGGGACCACCTGGCTCCCAGCCATCCCTACATGCTCAAGCTCCCTTGCACAACCCCAATGCGGCAATGATAGGACCCCATAATCAGGTAAGACTAAAGAAAGAGGCAGCCTTTGTAGCTGGCATTGGCCCAGCTGTGCTCTGCTATCTGACCTCATCCTTTCCCCAATTCTTGACCCTTCGGTATCTTTTGTTTTACGTGTTTTGGTACCAGCACATCTTGTCTTTTGGAAGGTGTACCACAAACTATTGTAATCCATTACACCATACCAAAAAAAAACCCAAACAGCGGTCTGTTCACAAGGAAGTCCTATTGAATTGTTGGGGATTTCCTGCAAGAAAATACATTCATTGTTATTTTATATTAGCATGCTGTGTGAACCCAGGCATTGTATGTTATATGGCCTAGCTGCTTGTAGAAATTCATCCAGTAGTTTAGTCTTATGTGCAGATCCAGCCATAGAGTTGTTGCCTGGATTTTAGTTATCTATGAACAGAGAATTGTACTTTATAGAACCATATGAGAATCATCTTGCATTGGAATGCCATTTCCAGGTTCCTTTCCCCCTTGGTAGTCCATCTCCGTCTCTTCCCCAAGTTTCAAATTATAACTGTACTGAATGAATGATGGTTAGAACCGGTTCTCCGGTTGTCCCAGCACTCCCCACGGTCATGTGATCCATGATCTGGGTGCTTGGCAACCTATTTACACTGTGCCTCTTGTGCAACCCATCAGTCCCTTCCACCAGTTTTGGTCACCCCGATGTAAAAAAGATGCTGAGACTCTAGAAAGAGTACAGAGAAGAGCAACAAAGATGATTAGGGGACTGGAGGCTAAGGCATATAAGGAACGGTTGCTGGAATTGGGTATGTCTAGTTTAATGAAGAGAAGGACGTCCCCCCTGTACTATCGTCACAAGGTTATAGAGTCCCCGACGGGGTTTCTTCTCCCTCAGTTCGATAAGAGGTTCCGCGGACTTCCGTCCTGCTCTTCGTTGCCCACCTTTGACTAGTTCCTCTCTTCGTTGAATCTTGATTCCTCTTTGAAGGACTGTCAATCTTGTTAATTGGTTACCTTGTTGCTGCCTCCAGAAGTGGTGAATGCTCCACCACTGGAAGTTTTTAAGAAGAGACTGGACAGCCATTTGTCCGAAATGGTGTAGGGTTCCTGCCTGAGCAGGGGGTTGGACTCGATGACCTCCAAGGTCCCTTCCAACTTTATTATTATTATTATTATTATTATTATTATTATTATTATTATTATTATTATTATTATTATTATTACATCTGGCAGCAGCCATTTACCTACCTACTGGCCTGGAGTTTGCACGTTCCTGCTGACTTTCCCACTGATTTTGATTGTGGGAAGCCGGCATGAAGCCACCTTGCCTAACAACCACGTAAATTCAATTTAGAACAATAATGGGACTGCAGGGATTGCCATTGTTAAGTTGCCATCATAAGTTAAGGATTCTACTTTTGAAATCATAATAATCTCGCATAAATCTCATGAGGGTTTTTGGGGGGAAGCAGAGGTTGCCCCAAATTTCACAAATTTCATGTAATACAAAATGTTGCAAGATTGGTAAAAAATTTCCTTATTTTGGCCATTTGTGATTTCAATTGATTTGAGCCTTTGGGTCATTGTTGAATCCTGATGACTGCCTGGACTAGTCCCTGCTATTTTCTTGCCAAGATGTTGGAATTATTTGCTATTGCCTTCTTCCTAGGGCTGAACAGAATGACTGGCCCAAGGTCACCCAGGTGGCTTTGTGCATAATAGCAATAGCACTTAGACTTATATACCGCTTCACGGTGTTTTACAGCCCTCTCTAAGCGGTTTACAGAGTCAGCATATTGCCCCCAATAATCTGGCTCCTCATTGGAAGAAAAAGTCTGAGTCAACCTTGAGCCAGTGAGACTCGAACTGCCAAACTGCTGGCACCGACAGTCAGCAAAAGTAGCCTGCAGTACTGCATTCTAACCACTGCACCACCATGGCTCCTTAAGGTGGGACTGGAATTCCCAGTCTCCCAGTTTCTAGCGCAGTGCCTTAACCCTTACACCAAACTGGCTCTTCTAGAGATGCTCTGTTGTAGCCCCTACATCAAATTAATTCTTATTTAATTTTGGACCCTTCTGATACCATTTGGATGAGGGATTGTACTGTACATGTGTGGTGCTTGCAATTGCTGCATTCCCAACTCTGACCTGCAAGATGGTTTTCCAAAGCTGCTCAGAGTCACCTTGTAGGGGGAGATGGGCAGCATAAAAAAAATTGATAAATTAAAAAATAAATTAAAAAGCTATTGGTGACAACAAGTGGTGTATATAAGCAACTACATAAGATGAGACAATATCACTCCCCTAATGATACCAGTGGGACCACTCCAGCTGAAAGAGATAGCTTCAGGCTATCTCTGATGTTGGTCATGTTGAACTTAGCAAGGCAGGAATTAGGATGGCAGGGAACCAAGCAGAACTATAGAGGGACTTGTAATAGATAAACCAGAGAAAAAGGTGGCTGCCAGTCTTTTGTCAGGTTGCAGTTTGTCCCATTTAGATTGCAATAAATTATATTCGAGCCAAGTTCTAGATATCCCATGAGTGCAGGCATCTGAAGGCAAGTTTGACACATGTTCATGATATTGGAAAACTAAAATGGGTATTAGCCATTAATAGTTCCATCTCTTAGTCCTCAGTGCACTTCTTCAGGAAACAGTGATCAACGTGTGACCTTCCCAGTGTTACTGAACTACAAACTCCCAGCACCCCTCATGGTACCAGCTGACATTCCTGGAAATTGTTCAGCAATATCTGGAGGGCCAGGATTATTTCCCACCAAAAATCCAGTTGAGAGGAACTTAACTATTTACTGAAAATGTCCAGAATTTGGGTAAAGCTATAGAGTATAGGCTTTGTATGCAAGATGACCTGCCTTTAACTTTGGCATTCCCAGATTATCTGGGAAACCATTTGGAGTCTGGAGGCAGGTTACCAATCATTAGATTTAGTGATAAGAAGCTAAGGATGTGCTCTATCTCATTAACCTGCTTGGTACCATTTTACTGATTCTCATGAAGATACTCAATCCAGTTTGTATTGTTTGGGGTTGACCTTCCCCAAAGCATAGATATGTGTGAGTCCTTCTGCAATTTACTATGTTTTGGAGTTGTTCACCTTTCTTTTATTCATCTGCAGCCATTCATGCCTTCACGCTTCCCTGGTGGGCTCCGTCCTTCCGTTCGTATGCCAAGCCAGGTAAGTTCTTCCGCTGAATTACTTTTGGTAATTCAGCTCTCCCTTCTCAGCTACAAAAGTCCAGATCTGGTGTCCTGTCATATTCTCTAGCATTTGTGTAGCTGTTTCATTACTCACTGATAGCAGTTAGCAAATGGCCAAGTTGATCATTTCCCTTAGAAGATTATCTTCATTTCCTTTTTCCTTCAAAGATGATTTAATTTTCAAGATCTTCTAACATCTCGCACTCAGTTACCTCTACTTTTCATTTCTTACTTCCTCTGCCCATCTGGTCATCTGTGATGAAATGGCATAGCAATGTCTCCAAAGCATCTGATGAATTAACCCTATGCTAAGAAGCCTTAATAAATGGAATTTTGTTTTCTGCAAACTCTTGTCTGGATAATGCTACTTATTCAATGGTAGAACTGATGAAAATTAAACCACATTTTACAGATTCCACAGGGGATGTTAGAAAAGTGGATTTAGACACTAAATAATTCTTCATTTGTTGGATAGACCAGGAACATCAGAAATGATATTGGGCAAAATAATATTCTCTCCAATGAGGCTGGCTTCCATGCACTTCAATATTCAGAGGATAGTGCTAAGAGAGAAAAGGAGGAGTGAGGAGGATCTGCCTTTCTCCATCTGAGGAATGTTCTAGGCATCTGGTGGATAAAGTTGTTCTTTTGGAGTTTGATCATTCCTCCTGAGGCGATGGAAGCACCATGGTTATCTGGAGGTGAATTTCAACTTGAAGAAGTAGACAGGGTCCTTGGGTCTGTAATCCTAGCCAGCTGGTGAAAGACATCCAGAAGGTGATGTGTCCATAAAGTATATTTGCTTTGCTGAGAGAGTTGGTACCACCTGACTGGAAGAAGGTGGTAGTGCTCTCCTTTCTCAAGAAGCCTTCACTGGATTTGACACTCCTAGAATAATTTCATTCAATCTCCAACTTTCCCTTTTTAGGTAAAGTTATTGAGAAGGAGGTTGAGCTGCAACTTTGAGAGTCCTGGAGAAAACTGATTATTTAGATCGTCACCTTTCTTGTTGAAACTATGATATAATACTAAGGCAGCATTAGTTGTGCATGTCTTGGAGGGGGGAATTTCATCATCCTGGTTCTCGTTGACCTCTCAGCAGCTTTCGATATCAATCCTTCTAGTTTGCTTATGAGTATAGGAGTGGGAGTATGGTGTTGCATGGTTCTCCTTACTTTGTCATTGAGTTCAATCAGTTGGGGGGGAAGAAAGGAGGTCAAAATAGAGGCCTCTAATGTGGAGGACATCAAGACTGGATTCTCCTGCTCCTCCTGTTTAATATTTACATGAAAGAACTAGGTCAAATTATCCCTCTGTTTGGAATCAGGTATCATCACTATATAGATAGTGCTCATTTGTATATTTTGAACCTGGACCAACCAGATCATGTTCTCAAGGTCTTGATCCAGTGTGTGGAGTCTGGATCTGGATGAGGAGAATCAAGTTCAGCTCTGACAAGACCCAGTAGCTATAGGTATTTGACTAGTCAAATCTGGAGATGTTCCACCTTTAGTCCTAAAAGAGGTTGTACGTCCCCCTTTGGAATCTTCTTAGACTTGCAGCTCCTGCTTAAAGAGTAGGTAGCAAGTGGTAACACAAAGGTCTATCAATCAACTTACCTACATAACTCTCTGTCTCCCATTCTCCCTGCTATCCTCTCAAATCTGGATTCCAGGATCTATGCTAGCTTCCTTCCATAATGATCTTCCCAAACTAACATCTTTCCATATGTGTTGATTGCACCTGGAAGAGGATGACCACTCTAGCTTGCTTATTGTTTTGAAAAGTCAAATAAAATTCCAAAACAACTTTCTATGACCAAGAAATGGCCTTAACAATAGGTGCAGGAAAGGTGTTATTTGTTATCACAGTAGGATATATTGGTGAAGACAGTTCTACAAGTGACCATTTTGAAGTTCTTCAGTGCTTTAAAGATCTCTTAGATGATAAGTCAATGGAATGGTAGCCGATATATGAGAGATGAATCAATGAATAAACCAACAAATGAATCAGTGAAAAGCAATGCCTCTACTTCTGTAACTTTGGGATGTTTTAATACATGAAACAGGGGAATAATAATTTAAATTAGCCCTTTTGTTGTTGCTACATACTCCTGCCAATATGAGCACACTTCTTAAAACCATCACAAAAGGACTCCACACTTCGTTTTTTCAACCAGATCCTGGCAGTTCTTTTTACCTTTTTATTTGAGTCAAACATAGACCCATGAAGGTATCCCTTCAATTTTGGGAAAGGGTGAAAGCCTTACGGTGCCAAGTCTAGATTGTACGGTAGGTATGCAAGATAGGTCTAACTTTCCAATTGCCTCTTGTGTGCCTGTTAAGATTTGAGGTTTAATATTGTTCTGATGTGATTTCCTTCTTGTTTTTCTGAAATTTGCTTAATCTTTGCTTCAGTATTTTGAAGTGCTGCAGTTAGCACTGCAGTTGTTGGTGGTGATGCACACTCAAATCCATGTGAATAACATCAGTTACATCACAAGAATTGTAACCATGAGTTTTCTTGCTGAAGCATGAATTTTGAATTCCCCCCCCACAGATAAAAGTTCCTGTGAAATGTCAAACGTAGTAGCAGTTTCTCTTAGAGTGATCTGCCAATTGTACTGTTAATTTGTCAGTCTTTCTAATGTAAACTGTCATGCATCATCCACTTCATTTTTGATCACACAAATCAGCTCTTCTCAATTTGTAGCCTGTACCTTTTTGCACAATACTCGTAGCAACACTGCAGCTCCATAAACAACCAGCATTTAGCAGTGAATATCAATTGGAGGGAGTTTGAGCGGTGTGGTGGCCTAATGGTAAAGACACTCACCTCCCAGTTGGAAGGTTGAGAGTTCAATCCTAGGTAATATTTCTCTCCTAGGCCACAAGAGAAAATACCTGCTGCAAATTCTGCGTGACATCAGGAAGGGCATCCGGCCAATAAATGCTCAGCCCTGGCTCTACCTTGAATTAAGGGATTAGAACCGGGGTCTTCAAACTCGGACCTTTTTATGACTCATGGACCTCAACTTCCAGAATTCCTCAGCCAGCGTGCTGGCTGAGGAATTCTGAAAGTTGAAGTCCATGAGTCATAAAAGGGCCGGGTTTGAAGACCCCTAGATTAGAGGGTCATAAAAAGGGCATTTTATCAGTTGGAGGGACTTCTTCATCAATCAAAAATTCAATCATGGTGTGCATTGATGAGTACTCCTTGAAGGCCATTTCACAAACAATTGCATCACAACTTTTTCCCAGCAATTTCGTGACAACTGCAGTGTAAAAAATATATATATAAGGAAATGTTAGAGCTTCTGACAATCACTGTTACCCTACATTGGCAGTGTATAACAGGCATTGCTTTTCATTCAACCTGTATGAATGAATGAATGAATGAAAATAGTTCATAAAGTTCAGATTTGGTCACAACCTGCACTTGGGGACCAGATTTGTTCCCAATTGCTAAATTTTACAACAGCTGGAGCTTATGGACGGACTCCAAAACTGGTCCCAGATGAAGTATATTGCTAATAAATAAGCATCATAATACCATCATCATCATTTTAGCCATTGTCTATCCACTGCAGGATGAAGGCCTGTTCCATGTTTCTAACCAATACTAAGCTTTCTTTTACCAATTGGGCCCACAATACTTGCTGATGTTGTTAGTCTGTCTTGTTTTAGGTCTCTTTCGTGGAAGACCTCTTTTTTTATCAATGACTGCCTTGGTCCACCTGCCATCAGTTCTTCTTGCTATGTGACCGGCCCATTTCCATTTCCATTCTTTTACTCTCTTGATGACATTGTATACTTTCGTTTGTTCTCTAATCCATGTGCAGGTCTTTCTATCTTGTCTTGTGATGCCGAGCATGTATCTTTTCCATAGCTCTTTGCACCACTCATAGCTTTTGTATCGATTGTGAAGTTAGTGTTCATGTTTCACCGGCATATGTTAGAACAGGTAGCACACACTGATTGAAAACTTTTCTCTTCAGGCATAGGGGGAGCTTGTTCTTGAAAATTATGCTTAGCTTGCCGAATGCCTGTCAACCGCATTTAACACGCTATTCATTTTCTTTTATTGTTATCACCCTCTATTGAGATCCATTGGCCAAAGTGTATGTAGTTGTTTACTACGTCTAGTTCTTCTCCAGATAATATTTTTTTTCCCTTCGTGAGTAAGCATTGTAATCTACCTGATTAAAAAAAACATGGATTTTTTTCCCCTCCCCTATAGCCATCTATGGGTGTGTCTGGCCAACCTCTGATGCCCAGTGCAATGGATCCGGCAATCCGATCACAAGGTGAGCGGTGATTTAAAAGGGGATGAATGGATAGTCAGAGTGACATGAGACTATGGTGCAAGCAGGGAAATGAGATTAATGGTGCATCTCTTAAGAATCTGTATCCATCCATTTCACAAATAAATGAGATAAATATGCATCTCATAAATAAATAAATAAATGTCAAAGTATCTTATACTTAGAAATTATTTGCATAAAAAATGCAAAAGAATGCTGAAATATTTCTGGATTTCTCACATCCTTGCCTAAATCTTTTTCAGCGGAGTATGTAGCCACGTTTGGTAAAGCAAATACAAATGCTACAAACGTCTGAACTTGTTCCTTTTGCTTGGTTTAATTGCTTGAATGTGCAGATTTTGGGGGGGGGTGTTATTGCTTCTTTTTTGAGCCTCCAGGTGCATTAGAGACTTTGATTCTACAGTTGCAACTTAAATGTGTTTGATCTCCCCAATTCTTCTCTTTTCCCACTCCTTTTGCCACCAGTAGGGCATCCTAACATGGGCCCGATGCAGCGCATGACCCCACCACGGGGTATGACAGGAATGGCTCCACAGGTGAGCTCCCCAAAATGGGGGATAGATTTTGAAACAAGTTAGTGGATCTGGAAGTATTATTTGATATGAGATTGTGATGGTTTTGTGTGGGTGCATATGCATGCATGCCAGTCTGAATGCAAAAGATGGTCTAGAGCAGGGGTAGTCAACCTTGGCTCTTTTATGACTCGTGGACTTCAACTCCCAGAATTCCTGAGCCAGCACGAGTCATAAAAGAGCCAAGGTTGACTACCCCTGGTCTAGAAGCTCAGGGAGCTTTCCAACTGCTTGAAGCTCACAATTTAATTTGCACATTCCTTAAAACTGTTGCACTTCATTTTTCACCCATTCAGTTAAAATAAAGAAAGCTTCAAAGTGAATCTGGAGGGCACTATGTAATCCTGGACCCCTGGGTCATTTAAAGTTTATATATATATAAACTTTAAATTGATATATATATATTTTCTGAAGTTTTCGCGGGTGTTTGTATGTAGGTCTTTGGTTATTCGGGTTTTCTCCTGCGTAAAATTGGAAGTGTCTTGGCGACATTTCGACGAAGTCCCATTCATCATCTTCAGGCTGGTGTTTTCAGCTTCGTGCTTCTAGGAGTAATGTGTGATCGCAGCTGTTTCTTCCTTTTAACTGCCAGTGGGGTTTGAACTGATTGGGTGGGAGCTTGGCTGTGTTCTGATTGGGTGGAGGTGTGTTCTGATTGGTTAAGGACCTTGGCTGTGCTCTGATTGGATGGGGGGTTGGCTGTGCTCTGATTGGATGGGGAGTGTTCTGTTTGGGTGGGGGCTTTGTTGTGCTCGGGTTAGTCTGAGTTGCAGGGGGATTTGAGATGGTGAATTTCGTTGCTGTTGTTTGTGTTCGTGGTCGTGCCACATCTTTATGGTGGGTGTCAGTTTGCTTCATGTATGGATTGGAGGGGTTTAAAGTGGCTAATGATGCAGCTGTGGATTGGCTTCTAGTTTGTGGTCATGCCTCATCATCTGTGTGGGTTTGGGTTTGCTTTTTGCGTGGATGTGTGATGGTGACATCCTGTGTGGTTTTCGTGAGTGTGGGTCTGGTGTCATTCTTTGTGTTAGGGACTCGTTTGCCAATAAGGGCAGGTTTCCAAATGGCTGGTAGGCAGGAGGTATCATCTCGTTTATTCATGCTGTGTGGGCGTTTTTCTATCCCGATGGCTTCTCTGATTATTCTGTTGTTAAAGTGTTCAGTTTTGGCGATAGTTCTGGTCTTTTTAAAGTCAATTGACTTCCAATTTTACGTGGGAGAAAACCCGAATAACCAAAGACCTACATACAAACACCCGCGAAAACCTCAGAATATATATATATATATATATATATATATATATATATATATATATATATATATATATATATATATATATATATATA